AGGCTCCTGCAGAGACTCCAGCGGAAGACCACCAGACACACCCAGGTTCCACTGAGAGGAGGGTCTGCAAGACCCGCAGGTTCTACAAAAGAGCCCAAACCCAGGCCCAGGTGCTCCGAGCTGGATCTCCGTCCCAGCCTGCTGGAATGCAGAGTTCTGCCTTAGACTCAGTGCAGCACAGCTGGGAAGCAGACGAATCCTTCTACGTCATGATCTCTACTGGGCATGCGTGTTAGCAGAGCAAACACACAAAATGATTACGGGGCACAATAAACCAGGCAGCAGGCAGGTAAGAGACGGTGAAAAGAGAGAGCTGGAGGAAATGCCAAGGTGAGAAGGTTGTATTGATTCTAAAAAAGTATAAACAAGGCAAAACCCCAGCTACATGCCCCTCACTCACCATCAGCTCCTATCCCCTCCCCAATCTTATTTTCTTCTTCTTCTTCATTATTATTATTATTATTTAAATCTGTTCCAAAGACTTCTGGAATTTGTCCAGGCGTAAAACAACCTCCTCAACCCGGCAGCCTTACCACAAGCAAAACAACCCCCAAGCGATCAGCAGAATATGCATGCAGGCCCCTAGCAAAGTGCCCGGCTACCGTGGTGCCAGCCGGTAAGGCAGCTCCTGGAAAAGACGTGCAGAAGCGCTCCTGGCAGGGCTGCAGACTGGAGGGCTGCTCCGTGTGCGCATCACCTACCGTCACGGTCACACTGGGTGCGCCACAAGCTGTCCTCAAGACCTTTTTCTGCGTGAGACTTGTTACTCCGTTCTTCCCACACGATGGAAACCTGCACCCAGGTATAAGAACCAGGTTATTGCCAGAAAATTAGGGTTCTTCTATTGCTTAGATCTCCCAAAATTATACACTACATATGGCGGGTAACAAGTTGGCGGCTAGGAGAGCTGGTCTGGGATCACGTGGCTCCCTTGACGTGAGCACCAAACGTGCATGGTGTGCCCGGCGTTGGGATGGAAAGAGCAGGGTGGCATTCGCAGGCTGGCCTTTTAACCTGCCATCGCATCACATGTATTGTGACCTTTTGCAGGGAAGCCCAGCTGTCATCCTGCCAGGTGACAAGGAACAGGCAGCACGTGAGCAACAGCTGGGTAAGGTGAAAGGGCCCAGGACAGTGCCTGGAGCAGAGGTGGCTCAGGGAAGGGCTGACATCAAAAGAGCAATAAGCTCAGGAACAAAGTCCCTGTGACTCAAATTCATAAAATTAACAGTCAAATATTCAACGGAATGAAAAATTACTAATTCCCAAAATACCCCACTTGATACTTCTGAGCTCCTAAGAAGCAGCGTTATTTTTGTTTTGGGTTATTGTTTTTAAATACCACGTGTAATTCATCGTGCTTACACACAAACAGCCCTACCGCCAGATTTGCAAAGGTAGCAAACATTTAATCCCCCCAATCTGGCAGTACTACATCCAAGAATTCCAGGAAGGGAAGGGACCTGAAAAGTTCATTTGATCCATTCTACTGACAGCCTCCGACAGCCCCAAAATATGACTTTGCCCTCCCCACAAATACCTGGGAAAATATTGCAACATAAAATGCAATATAAAAAAATCTTGAGCCCTGACCGGTTTGGCTCAGTGGATAGAGCGTCACCCTGCGGACTGAAAGGTCCCAGGTTCGATTCCGGCCAAGGGCATGTACCTTGGTTGCGGGCACATCCCCCGTAGGAGGTGTGCAGGAGGCAGCTGACCAATGTTTCTCTCTCATCGATGTTTCTAACTCTCTATCCCTCTCTCTTCTTCTCTGTGAAAAATCAATAAAATTTTTTTAAAAAATCTTGAGCCTTTTAACATGCATTTTGCTGTAGTATATAATGCCTTGATTAAAAATGTATGTACTAATCATTTAACCAAGAAATACCAAAATCTAATAGACAGTTGTTTTTTTCCTTCCCCACTGAGAACATTTCTCTTTACTTGAAGCCAGTAGATTTGGGTCATCTCCCCGCCTGAGCAGCCTTCCCATCAAACCGCTGGGACCCCACGAGCACCCTGCTAGCGGCCACATCCACCTCCTGCATCACCCTCTGCATTTACACCTGGCCCTCTTTCAAACAGGATGAGCCCTGCACTCCACTGAGACAATAGCGGCCCTATCCTGCTACCAGGAACTGGGACGCCTGGGAAGAGAGGGAGGGAGCAGAGCGGAGAATGTGTGCATGCATTTTTCCCCCTCCTTCCCTTTAAAAAACTGATTTCCACATATTTTGGTCCAGACTTCCAACACACCGCACAGAGAAGCTGAAAAGAGAAGCCTCCTTCCTGCAAGCCTGGCCCGGGGAGGGGGGGGGGCGGCCCTGACCACCTTTCCCTGCCCTTGGGCGGAGGCGCCCCCCACGTTGGCAGTACCTGGGGGAGCCGCCTGAGGATGAGGCAGACATGACTAGGCATCAAAGCCGCAAAGGTGGGCAATGGGGTCAGCAGGCTCTGCTCAAGGGGACTCAGAGGGGCTTGTCAATGAGAATCTCAGGGGCCGGGCATCAAACGTCCTCTCTGAGGGGAGGAGGGTGGAAGCTTTGGGGGTGGCAGTTGGATGAAAACTTGGGAGGCGCTCCTCTCTACTGTCCAAGTCGCACAGCAACTGTCCTGCCAAAGTGGGGGGGAGAGAGGAGAGGCTGAGCGACCTGCGGGGCGGCGGGGGGCGCCGGCACCTTGTGGCTGCCTGAACTGGTCTTTTTTTGGGTGGGGGAGAGGGGTGGGTATACATGAGATGAACTCTGGGGACTCCTGGAAATACTTGAGACTTCTGGCTGTTGC